TCACACTTTCATGGCACTGGGGGTCCTGGCAGGAGGGATGCCTCAGCCTCAAAATTATCCAGTGCCCAGGCCCAAGCCTGTTCTTGGTTCATGTTTGGTGTCATGTAGGGCTCTGGGTAGTACCTGCTTCCAGTCAGCTCCTCCAAGGCTGGTGGAGAGCAAGCATTAGAGCTTCAGCTACCCAACCTGGCTAAGAGGCAGGGGATGCTCTTCAACCCTGAAGCTGCTTTTATGTGGGAGGTGCTTTTATGTAGGGGAGGTGACTACAGATACCAAAATCCAACCCCGTGGGGATTAGCACCTATTTGCATAGTGATTGGTTCAGAGCCTAATTCTGTTAAAGTGAAAACTGAATCCTTAGGGAAGGCACTGCCCAAATTTCTTGGAATGGAGAAATGGACAGGAAGTGGGGAGAGCAGTAATTAGTTTGGTTGAGTACAGATTCCTCTGCCTCTAGGCTGTAGTGGAGACACCTCTAATCCCAACACTTGAGAACAGAGGCAGGTGGAACTCAGTGAGTTCAAGGCCAGCCTGGTCTACAAAGTAAGTTCCAGGACAGCCAGGGTTACACAGAGAAGCCCTGTTTCCTTCCCACCATAAAACTATGCATCCTCTCAAGGCTTCATCTTTCCATGAGAACTACAGACTGTGGCTAGTGGAGCATCTGACTTCTCCAGGGTCAAACTATAGGTTACCCAATTCCAAGTGTCTACAAGTTTTGTTACTTAGTTTATTTCTTTTTATAGCTGCAAAACAACACATGCAAATAATTATTCTAAACCCAGGACAGGCCTAGGGGCAGTGGTACATGCCTTCAATCCCTGTACTTGTGAGACATAGCCAGTCAGATCTCTGTAAGTTCAAGGCCATCCTGGTCTACAGAGATCCTAGTCTAGGGAACCAGGACAGGTACCAAAACTACCACAAAAAAAAACCCTGTCTCAAAAAACTAAAAACAAAATAAAATGAAACCAATTAAAATAAAATAATCACAGGACAGAACTAACCTCAATCAAGCATAATTAGTAAAAACCCAACTTAGAACTTTTTATCTCCCACTCTGAGATGAGATGTCAGAGAAGCTGGTGACACAATCCACCAAAAGGTGAAATTTGTCATAAGAACTCAGCTGGGATAACAAACACCTTTAATCCAGACCTGGAGTCTAAATGACTTGCCTTTAAGGCAGATTTTCTAGTAGCAGGACACACCCTTAATCTGGGCCACACCTTCTGCTGGGGGCCTATATAAGAACAGGGAAGAAGGAAGCTTTTTCACTCTGCACTCTGCCTGCTCACTCCCACAGTGCTAGCCAGTCTATTACTTCCCTGGCATCAGAGCTTACTTCCTTAGGATTCTAGAGATTACTGAAGATCTGCTGAGACATCCATCCTGGTGGACTGAGTAACTTCTGGACTCTGGGTCTTTTAGTTCACAGCCAGCCATTGTGGAATTAGCTGAACCACAGTCTGTAAGTCATTCTCATATATCCCATTTATATGTAGATATAGATAATCACATCAGGGAAGATAGGATTTTACTTGAGAATCTTCACTCTCTTTGTTTTGATTTCATTTTTCTGTTTGTTTGCCTTTCAAGACAGAGTTTCCTTGTGTAGCTCTGGCAGTCCTGAATTTAGCTCTGTAGACCAGTCTGGTCTTGAACTCAGAGATCCAGCCACCCCTGGCTCTGCATCTCCAGAGCTTCGATTAAAAGTGTACAGCACCTGGACCTTCAGAATATCAATTTTTATTGAATGCAAATAACTGCTGGGAATATGAACTTATACCCCAGCATCCTGCAGTATAATATTGGGAGGGGTCTAGAAGTTAGAGGATAAAAAGATAACTGACTTCTGAATCTGATGCTCAAGGAATTGTCCTCTTTGTACATAGGTGAATTCAAGACGACAGAGCAGTTCCGTCCACTTTGGAAGATATGTCAGTTCCTAACAGCACATCTGGAAGGAGTCTAAGGTATTCCATAGCCAGGCCACTGTGTTCCTTCCCAGAGTCAAGCCACGGCTTTGAAGAATTTTGGTCTTATGAGTGGGAACTGTTTTCTCTTCCAAGTGCACTTGATAGCTGGGACTGCCTCAGATTCCACCCCAGACCAAACCGTGCCATGAAGAGGGATGCAGATGTCTTCCAGAGTGAGAGTCAGAAGAATCCACAAATGCCCCCAGGAGAGGTGGACAAGGACAAAGACAGCCATCTGGAGGGGCCAGACCAACCCTCCACAGGCTTGCTCAGCATCTGGAAGAAAGGACAGGAACTTGAGACCTGTGATGGTGGAGACTGTCCTGAGCATGATCCTGCTTCTGACCATCCCAGGTGCCTAAGCTGCTGGCCATGGCTTCAAAGGGCTTTTGGCAGGAAGAGAAAAACCCAACAGAATCTCAGGAGGCCTGATGCCTGCTGAGACTTGCAATTAGGGGGTCGTCTGTTAGCTCCAGCTATTACAGCAACACCCCTGCCTCTGTTCCACATGTAAAGGCAGTTTTTGTCTTTGCAGATGTCTGTATTCATTTTTCAGCTTTCTTAATAAAAGTACTTAACACTGGAAATCTGTGTTGTTCTTGGGATGCCCTAGGGAAAAGGTGAAGGGTGGAGTGGCCATAGAGGAGGATGCACTATTGTTTTCCCATGTTGCTCACAGGGCAAACTCTAGTTCTTTTTAAAGGAAGTCCTCCAGGGACCTTGGTAGGCATCCCCAGGAGATGGGGACAAAGGATGAATCCTTGTTTGGAAACTCCCTTTAGTGAGGAAGTTCAGGCTGGGCTATCCAACCTGAACCTCGGCTGCCACCTAGTGGAGAACCCTCAACCTCTGTGGGTTAGGTTGCTCTGGCTGGGTACACTAATAATATGGGACTATTTGGAGGTGGGGCCGAGTTGGAGGAAGCCTCGTCATTGTGGATATATGTACTTTTTATGTCCTATTATACCCTGGCCTTTTACTGTAGCCACTTCCTCTACCTCTTCTCCCCTGGCCCGTGGAATTTTGAGACAGGGTCTGCATGTGGGTGGCCTTGCCTGGAACTCTCTATGTAGAACAGTCTGACCCCAAACGACAGAGATCTGGCTGCCTCTGCCTTCTGAGTGAAGCCACGGAGCAAAGGAAACCTTTCATCCCTTGTTTCTGTCAGGTATTTATTCCTAGGTACACAAGAGGAATAATAAACTCACCAATAACGTCTTGTTTTCCTGAGCACTGCCTGTCTGTTCCGCAGGAAGAATGCAGGACTTCCCAAGAATGTCACCATCCCGTGGACTGATGTAGAATTCAAACATCTGCAAGGGCCTTTGTGAGCAGAGTGGCCCCGGTTGGATGCTGCCTCAGTACATACTTCCTTCTTTTTCCTTCTCTTCATTTTTGAAACAGCATCTCAATATGTTTTTCTGGTAGGACTGGAATATACTATGTAGATCAGGCTGGCCTCATTTGGGGTCCTGGGATTAAAGGTGTGTAACATCACACCTGGCTGTCATAAGGGTTTTCTGATTTCTGTCTTTCCTCAAGAGCCAGATTGAGCTGGGCGGGTGTTGGCAGCTGCCCGCATGCCTTAATCCCAGTGCTCGGGAGGCAGAACCGGGCGGATCTCTGTGAGTTCAAAGCCAGCCTGGTCTATAGAGTGAGATTCAGGACAGGCACCAAAACTACACAGAGAAACCCTGTCCCAGAAACCAAACCATACCAAACCAAACCAACAAACAAAAAGAGCCAGATTGGAGTGTAAGTTTTTGTCTGTTGTTTATTTGTTTTATTTTTATTTTTACAACAGTATGTCACTTAGTTCAGTCTAGTCATGATATAGCTGAGGATGACCTCACTTAGCTCTGGCTAGTCTTGATCTAGCTGAGGATGACCTGAAGCTTTTGATTCTCCTGCCTCTACTTCCTAAAAGCTGGGATTAGAGGCATGGCACATGGTGCACACTGGCTGTCAGTGTTTGGGGTCTAGATTTGGTGTTGGTGTTTTGGAGTCCTGGACCCCAAACTCAAGAGCAAATTAAAAGCCTGGGCTGCTTTTGGAGTACTCAGGAAACTTTATTCGAAGCAAAGGATAACAGAGGAGAGATAAATTGATAAAATAGACAGTGGGTCACATGAGGGAAGTCACTCAAAGACCCCAGTAAGTGTCTGCAGCTTCCTTCCAAGTGGTTCAAGAGAAGAGAGTCAGCCTGGGGAGGGGTGGTGCACGCCCTTAATCCCAGCACTCAGGAGGCAGAGGCT